CTGGTTTCGCAGAAATTATCACCTATCTCAAAAATCATGTCGGCAAATTCAATTTATGAAGCTGAATATTATGTTTTTGCAACTAAAAGAAGTGTATTTTTGAAATGTAGATTTTTGATCTTTTGTAAATGCTAATCACGATCAAGTAAAGTCTTCCTATGTTATACGGTATTTCTCCCGCCTTCTAGCATATCTTTGTTGTATAATGATCAGCACACTTCGGCGCGTATTCCAGAGGTCCAGGTTCGAGTCCCGGCGAGGACATTGCTCATTCTTCATATCCCCTACTTCCAAAAAGCCCAATGTCTCTCCGAACTAAAAAAGGTGGTGGATGATGATTCTCCACCTCCAGGATTTGGCGATAGGGTCCATTAATCCCCAGTCGCCCTTTAAAAAGGGGGAGTATATGAGGTATTTCGCCCGCCTTCTAACATGCCTTCGGGGTCTAATGGTCAATACACTCGGCGCGTATTCGAGAGGTCAAGGTTCGAGTCCCAGCGAGAGAATTGCTCATTCTTCACACCCCCTGCTTCCAATGTCTGTACAACGTAAATAGCCTATTTTTGAGATAATTATTTTTTTTATCTAGAACAAATGTCCATGTAACACGGATAGACGTTTGATGTATAGTTAACATGTTATGAACAATATTATGACTGAGGAGTAAATTATATTTATTGATGTTACAAATAGACAAAATCAACATGTTTACTGAAACGAAGAATAGGCTAAGATATGTTAACAATTTTTTTTTTTTTTTTTTAAGAAAGAAAACACTAACCGGTTCGAAACGAAACGTATAGTCAGCCTGTAAAGGACCTAAGTTTGCAAACAGCCGAATTTAAAATCGAATCCCTTTCGTAACACGTAACACATTTTTTGTTAATCCAAAACATTCTTATCATATTGCACATACAATAGGTACATGATTAACCGGTCTTTCTGATTCGGATCTTGAGCTGGATACACGACTATCTGTTTAATCTGGAAGGAAAAGAAAATAACAGCATTTAAATATGTAAAATTTAATATATATATATAAACTGTGTATAAATGTTTGCATAATCTAATCAAATGTTTAAAAATCCTTTTTTTTTTTTTTTTTTTTTTTTTTTTTTACATGATTTCTTGTTTTGAAGCAAAATTCCACAATTTCTTCAAAAAAATACATTCACTATTATTACATCGTCAATAGCTCATTTCGATAGTTAGGATGCTCCGCTTCCACTTGCTCAGCTTATTTTCATAAATTTATTTCAACGGAAATTACGTAAGTAAATAAACGAGGAAAAATAATAACCGAAAAATATATATACTTAGGCACGACTATGGTCTGAAATACAGAAACTGAAGTATTAAGTTCGATTGCTTCAACACTGTGATTAGTGGAATCTTATTTAACTTTGTTTTTTTATTTTAAGGAATAAGTTTTCTCTGAATAGTAGTTTTCCTATAAATTTAATTGGAAATTTGATTCTTAGTAAAGAATCTGGCTGAAAATATTTAGAAAAAAACAAAATATGCTATATTTTGTTGAAAATATATTTTTTATATGTATCATACTTAAAAAAATTCCATATCAAATAAGACACTATAAAAATTATTATTTTCCCAAACAGTATTTGTTTTCCGTTAACTTAAAATTTTATTCTAGTTCGAATCGGTTAGCAGCTTGACCTTCAAAAACTGATCACATTAAAGAAGGTCACTTTTTCACATTTCGGTGAGTTTGCTTTTATTACGAAAAATAGGAATTGCTTGAATTGCTTCTATTACGAAAACGGGCAAAAAAGATTTTGAAACTCAAACATTAACGGTTTATAAAAGAAAAAAAAGTTAATTTGTTGTAATTTTTTTCATCTTAATTGAAAATTTAGAATTAACCTTTCAAGTTATTTCCTCTTTGAGCACTAAATATTTTCATACCTTTCACGTTATTTGTTTATCATACTTCGCAATATCCACCAAACTGGGTGCTGCATAAAATCTCAAATGAATACATTATAGGCAGCACGCCTTTCCCTGGGGGGAAAAAGAGTCATAAGCGGTTTTACAGAGAAAATTAATAATTATTTTTCTCGCTCAGATAATGCTTTATTGTTTTCCGCTCTGAATTCTCACTGCTACATAAAACCATGGAGAGATGATTATGATAAAGAAAGAAAGCTTATCAAGTAATGAAAGTTTTAAGATCTTAAAAGAAATTATAGATGAAAATCGAATGGATTCGCCATGCAATTTTGGTTAGAAATTTAGTGGTACACACACAGTAAATTTAAAAAATAGTTTTTTACATATTTTATATCCTGCTTATTTCATGGTGCTACATCTCTCGGAACATTGCATAATGAAATGCAACAGTGCAAAATGTAATTTTTGACCAAAATGTATTGATTGCCAAGCCATTGATAGAATACATCATTATCGTTAAGAAGAAATGACTGTGTTCTTTTAAACATTCTGATTTTATGCGATGTTTTGACCTTTAGCAAAAATATCATAATATCCAACTAAAATTCAATAGTAATATATTATAACGTTCGAGTAAAGTGCAGTAACAACACATTCGTCCATTCGATTTCTCACTATTCTATTGCTATCGCAGAAGACAATGAGTACTGTTTTGATTTCAAGCAATGAATCTTTTAAGCTTTCGGAGCGTTTGCTAATTTCTATTGGCCATATTACTGTTTTGTTTCTGAATCATAAACGGGTATTATTGTCCTGCCGTTTGTGTATTATTCAGGAATGTGGCACTTCTTTCTGTGCAACGATCATGCCAATCGACGATTCAAGCTCAGTATGATTTACTTTATATGGTAAAATAGCTATGTTATGCTGACGAGATACGACATATTTGACAGCAATTGTTTCATAAAATCGCCTTCGTTTCTAATTCTTTATTTATAAATGACAATGTAGCCTTTGGTTTTATATAACAGTCTAAAATTTCAATTTGCGTACCATTAGTTATTTATCAATAAACTGTACAAGAATAACAATCTAAAACAATTTTTTATGTTTTAATTTTAAAGAAGATCAGCATTTTTAATTTAATCCTTTAATTTTAGTTTTTTTTATCAAAAAATTATATATTAACTCTTGGCCATTTCTACTTTAATGTGGAATCCCCACAAAATGTACTCATTTCACTTAATTAAGGAAAAAAATTGGAACAATTTACCTTAAAACAATGCTATTTTCACCAAGTTTGGCCATATCGCAAATAAAAGAATGTCGCTTTAAGTAATAGCGTATGAGAATCAATCTAATTTATATCAAATTTTGTAATCAAAGAGTTGATACACGTTGCTTTTGATCAAGAATTTGCGAGAGAGATGACAACAAAGTTTTAAGCTTAATTTTCTCAAAGAGAAGCATCCATGGCCAATAAGGTGGTCGTTCTAGGGGGGTGAAATTCAGTACTAGTATTTATTTAAATTCTCAGTAATATTAATGTCTTCCAAAAGTGTTAATCGTAGGAAGACTTTATTCACAACGAGCATTATTGTATTTTGAAGACTAATGTGTACAACAATGAATAATATGCTCTAACAAAATCATGAAAATTGGATTAACCGGAAGATTTAAAATGATGGTGCGATAATAAATAAACAATTTTTAATCTACTGGAAGCTATAAAAACTTACCGTGTATCAACTGAAAATATTATTTTTATCTCGAAAATAACACTAGCCTGCAAAACAATTTACTTTTTAGTTTGCATGATGTTAATTACACTGAAACTGTAATAATATTCAGCTTTGAAATGTTGGGTATAAATGTTTCATTCTTGCACAAATCTGAGGTACGGAATAAATTTACCTTTTGTAAATATTTTTTTTTTTTCCTTTTGAAAATGCATTTTCCTAAAATGTTTGGTGCATAAGCATGGTATCGAGACTGCAGGGTTGGGGATACTGTCAGCTGGGTAGCGAGGGCGTTGCCGTAAAATTACTTCAAAGTTACTTTGCACGTGCTCATAATGATCTTTTATATGGGTACTAGCTTTATGTACCACTACTTTTTCCATGGTATAAACATGGAGTTACTGAGTTAATGTCTTTCACTTCGAATTCTTTCACGGATCACAAGGAAGCTTCCATGAAAACGAACTAAAATATAAACTGAAAGCTAAATTAATTTCGCTTATAAGAGTCATGTGAAAGTTAAAGTTTTTTATAACCTACCACAAGCAGCTAACAGAAGCTAGTCCTCCTTTGCATAGAGACCTCCGTAACTCAAAGCTTCTCGTGCTCGTAGAAATATCCAACTACAATTGAATGGCACGTAGTTTCAAAACATATCCATAATACGCAACAAAATCGGAAAATGAAGGTGTAAGAATTGCAGTAATAATTCATATTTGTTGGTTGTTTGCGGGGTTGACAGTTGTTGCTTAACAGAATACGTGGCAGCCCACCAAAGAGTATACTAGATGTAAATAAAAAAAAAGGATTTTAATTGGTGCTTTCCTTGAACTTTACAAAGCAGATGAACAATGCGTATGTGATCCTGTGACATACAATAAAAGTATAAGATGTGTTACAGGTGAAAAACCTGACAATGAAAACTTCTGCGTCGTATTGGGTCAACATTGCCATTACATTAGGTCGGCAGGTACTTGACTGCAATTTCATTCAATGGTTCCATAGTAAATACTCTCCGAGACACTCAACTCAGTTCCTACTCCTGTTCTTGTCTTCGGCAGCTGCCATTTATGTCAGGATACCGTGCATCACATCGCCGTACCACGGTGGAGAGAAACTTGTATACAGCCACATTAGGATAGGCCAAAAGGACGATAACCATGACGACACACAGCTCTGGATTTTACAGGCGGGATTATATAACGTTTCATTTCTTATCCTCTTCAGCCCTGTGTAGACGCAAGGGAGATTGCAAGTTTTCTAACAATATTTTAAATTGTAATATGTTTGAAAAAATATTATTCGCATACTCTTAAAATATAATATTAATTAACGTATGTTTCTTTTCAGCGCCTCCCTCTGAGCAAGATTACGAGCCTGATTATTCTGATGAAATAGTGACTCCTTCTTGCGAAGTCAAGAAATGCCAGCCTCCTAATTGCAGCTGCTTTGGAGTTCAGCCGCATGTTCCTGTAAAGAAACGTCCACAGTTCGTTATGCTGACGTTTGATGACGCCATAACTGTTGCCAACATTGGCACGTATAGAAAAATAATAGAGAAACGGCGAAACAAAAGAGGCGGAAGAAATATTACAATGACATTCTTTGTTTGTCACGAATATAATGATTATTCCCTTACTAATGCTCTGTATCAGGAAGGACATGAAATAGCTGTACATTCCATCAGGTATTTATCATCTCCTTGCGGTTTTCTAATGTGATAATTTTATTTATGGAACAAATTTATTACGTGAAAGATTTATTTATAAGGGCAATATAGAGTCTAAAAGAGATATTTGAATGTTAAACCGTAATTAGCTTACATAAATTTTCAAAAGCGACTGTATAACAGACTTTCATAGGTAAATAATATTTATAAATAAAAAGGGTCAATGTGTAAATACAAAGCATGCATAGTCTAGTTACTTGTCAGAAGTGAATATACTTTTATGAAATGTTAAATAGTCAGAATTACATTAATTTTAGGAGGCTCTAAGTCTTAATGTCTACAAGTAAATAGAATCAACAAGAATCACACCTGAATAAGCATAAAAAATTAGGCTTTTGAAAACTATTTATGATTACATTGGGGCATGCTGAGATAGGCCAGTTTCATTTCATCAAATTGACGTTAAAGAAAATATAATATTAGAAATCTAAATATTGTACATAAGATTATAGAATGAAATCAAGCTTCATAATTAAATTATATATATATATATTAATTCACAAGATTACGAGTTCTTCTTATTAAGAGTTTAAGTATTTTTAGGCACTTCAAAATAATTGTAATAAAAAGTTCATAAACTGAAAGTCCTCTGAAGTGGAAATGTACTAAACAATATATTATAATTCCGTATTAAAGAAAAATAACGGTGGTGTAGGGCTCTGTCTGAACCTACTGTTATTGACTTTTGTAAACAACACACATTTCTCCAGATCCGCAAAAGTAATATTTTTAAACACTAGGAAGAAGTAAAGAAGAAGAGAACTTCCAGAAGATCAGTATGTAGCCACTCAAGAAGCTTGCTAAGGGGTTAGAGGTAGTGCCATGTCTATTAGGCGCGATCGCGTAATCTTGACATACAAGTTCAATCGCTGGGTGCCGCATAAGCTAACTCATGCAGATAAGAACATATGTGTTCGGACCAGCACAAATCTGCTCGAATATAAACGCAAGGAAAAGGTTTAGGACCGTATCGGCACTTGTGATGTTAAGTGGATTTATTTCAACGACACAGGCTGCAAAGGGAGTTGGTTTGCCCCAGTGATCCTGTCGGCAGCGTCGCAGAGTGCGAGTGACTAACAGAAAGATCATGCTTTGTATCTGGAGAGATATTATCCTAGGATTGCCATGGTATTATCCACAAAGGGTATCTCGACAAAGGTAAAACCCTTGACAATAAGATTGTAAGAACCACTTGCTTATCTTCTAAGTGACAACTGTACGTGTAGGAACTACACAGGAGGAAAGTAATCTTTATTCAACTCTTTAAAATTTGCAATGTGTCGACTTGACGTTAGCACACTACACCACACTCGGGGAATAACTGAAATAGCAAGAACTAAACTAAAAATCCGAAAATATTAACAAGTAGTAGAAAGTCTCTACAGGGCCAAGAAAACTACTGTTACTTAAAAACCACTTCGTAAACTAGTGGCAGAAAGGTGAAGCTGTCATGCCACTTAAACCAGCAATAACTGCAGAAATAGAAGCTTACGTTATAAGAGATGATGGCGAATGCCCAAAACTCTCTCACTTTTTCCCCCTAGAACTTAGTATTTAAACTTTTTATCCTCAACATAAGATTTTCATTGCTTCACGCGCGCTACCAAATTTAAATATTCTGACATTGACAATTAGGGGAATGAAAACTTATGGGAAATAATGCAAAATTAAATTAAATTGGTTATTTAAAATAAATATACATCTCTACAACTGATTTACTGATCCATGGTCCAGTCTCGATGTTCCCGGAACCTACTGTAAGCGTAGTTCAAATGGCGCTTAGTCAAAAGAGGCACTCGAGCGGGACGCCTGCTGCGCAGTCCCGTAGCCAACGGTGAGCTGTGTGTTCCGTAACACTTGCACTTGGACCTGCTTTGTATTGGGCTGTTAGCTGAGCCATGGCTAACTACAGGTTCCTGTAGTTGACCATGGCTGAGCCTTACAAGGTATACAGCGAGATGCTAGTCCGTGTTGACGCAGCTATCAAGGATAAACTTCGCACTGAGTTTCGGCGCAAAAAGGAAATGTTCCATCAAGATAATGCAAGACCACATGTATCTGCATTGAACGGCTGGACTCTGTACGGCCTCGTATGGGATCTTTTGCCAAACGCATCATATATCCCTGACATCGCCCCTTTGGACTTCCACCTTTTTTCACACCTGCAACTACATCTTGCTGGTGCTATCTTCCATTCTACACAGGACGTCCGAAATGTAGTTGATCTCTTTTTGGACTCGCGGCCACTAAGTTTCTGCCCGAAGGCTTTGAAAAACTACCAAAATGTTGACAGAAAATCACAGATTTGGGTAGTGTTACTACTCGCACTAAAGATACTGCTGTCATGTTTTTTCTCTAACTTTATTAAGAATGTTTTTTGGCAGAATAGGTTGGTTACAACCAGATATTTAATGGGGAAGCTTTCCTGTCATTGTTGGAAAAAAAAAATAAAAAACAGATAAATTAAAATCAGAACCCTACCCACTTAAAATATTCATGTGGATTTTTATTTCTTAAAGTTTATCCAAAGTGCAAGAGGTTATCCAGTCAGTCTTGTTTTCGAATAAATACAGTATTTCTTTATATTCAGGCAAATTCGATATGCATTTATAGTATTTGGTTAAGAATTTAACTCTGCAGTTGGGAAATATTTAATTAAGAATTTTTTTTTCATTTATGGCACATACTAATAGAAGTAAATAAACACTTCATGAAATTCGTCTGCAAGTAGAAAAGGAAATGTTACATCTTTAAAATTTTTATTTTGTTCAAAGAAATAGTTTGTTAAGAAAAGAAATATTTCTACTGACCTTGCATTAATCAACGGTAAGTAATGTTTATAGTTTAAGAATCAGTTAGCTAGTTATATACTAAGCAAACGATTATAAAGTTCGGGGAAGTTTGAATTGATCATCTTAAAAATCAAAGTTTATTCCTACAGTTTTTTTGACGTACGAAGGTATGGTTAAATACGTTATTGTTTTTCAGCCATGAAAGTAACACTGATCTTTGGCGAGATGCTACCGAAGAAAAATGGACGAAGGAAATGGCAGGAATGCGGACCATGCTTAAAACTTATGGAGGTATTCCTCAAGAAGAAATTGTGGGACACAGGGCACCTTTCTTACAAACTGCTGGCAACATCACATTTAGAGTACTAAAGACTGAAGGTTTCTTGTATGATTCATCCATGCCTACCAGGAACTACATGGAGCCGCCAATTTGGCCATATACTCTCGATTATGGGTACCTTCAAGTAGGTACACACTTTAATATTTTGTGTAATACGTACAGATAATTAAAAAAAGTACTGAAATTACTTTATTTGATATAATGTATTATTTATAGTGTAAGGATTTAAGTAACTTTTCTATCCTTCTCTTTTTACCCACGCTTTTCATGCCAGAATGTAAATGAGATAGCGAGCATTAATTCAGATTGAGGAAGAAAGAAGGGCTATTTTAAGCGAAGTTTTCGTAAGTTGATGTTAAAGCGTGTTCTGCCTACTTGAGAACACTTTGCTACGTAACTAACAGCGATTTGATTCAGTGGCACTAAGCGCTTCTAGCCATTAAGCTTGACTCGCCGATTTTCTACAAACCAGATCCTTTTTGCTCTTTATTTTATCCTGTGAGACATTAAGCTAATCTAACTAAATTTGATTATGGTTCAGTATGGCTTATGTAAGCCCAAGTGGAGTTGACTGTGAAGAACTTTGTGTTTGAATAAAAGGGTCTTATAGACCCTTCTTTTGACTTTTGTTTGTATCATAAAACTTGAAAATAATTCTTCTACAGTCTTTTCAGAGATCGTTAGTGTATGCTTCCTAAGCATACTAGATACTATAATACATAAAAGTGAATCAATACTTAATATAAAAAAAATCAACTGAAGGTGAAATGAGGATGTTCTACTTTATCAAAACTATTAATAAATTTTCCTTGTCTGAACCCCATGTCAGGCGGTATGTCTAAACTGTTATCCTTGTTTCTTGCTGCAAATGGACGTCGATGATTTCGGTGGTCTTTATGGAAACTACTATGGAAAAACATCTCAGGAAATTATCTCATTAGACGTCCAAGTGGTAATTCTTACTTGATGGTGCAAATACATGTGGATGGGCCGTTCTGAATAGTATAGCGGGTAGCGTTGCTGCTGCCAGTGGATTCGTGTTCAGATTCCGCAAGGTTTGAATGTTTGTTAGTGTATACTCTGTCTTTGCAGCATGGGGACATTCAAAATATACGGCCAGCCGAAAGTACTCTCGAGTGATTTGGTGATAGTGAAAGAGGGATAGGAAATCCTTAATCCTTGGATCTGTGTCCCGGGGATTCTCCTTTAAAATTTTGATGGAACTGGGCATAGTCTTCTAACGTGCCCAAGCCTCATGCCAACACTAGACCCAGACCGGCGCTCCTCGCTGCGATAAAATTCGTGGACTTGTTTGACTTTCCCCTCAGGCAAGGAAGATAAATTACAACAAAAAGTCGATGGTTTCGATTACCTTTATGGAGCCGAAGATTACCTGAGCATGAGCCGAAGATTACCTGAGCAATTGCATGACGTGCGGCCGAGTATTGCCGTGGAGAAGAACTGGCCCCTTTCTGTTGACCAATGCCGGGCACATGCATTGCAATTTTTAGTGCATGTCGTTGATTTGGCGACAGTACTCATCTGCTGTAATTATTTCGCCCAGATTTAGGAAGCTGTGGTGGATAAGACCGGCCGCAGACCACCATACAGTCACCATAATTTTCTTTTGGTGCAGATTTGGTTTTGGAAAGTTTTATGGTGTCTGACCGCGGTCCAACCACTGAGCCGAATATCACCGGTTGTTATAGAGAATCTACATTTCATCGCACGTAACAATTCGATCAAGGAAAGGGTCATTTTTGTTGCGGAAAAGAGCAGACGACACTTCAAAACGGCGATTTTTTTAAAATTTTCGGTCAATTTTGTAAGGCCTTTGAAGCCAATTTTGTAAGGCCTTTGAAGCCAATTTTGTAAGCTCTCGGGAGGCACCCACTTATCGAGCTTCTTTGACTTTCCTATACGATTCAAGTGACCAGAAATCATTGTTTTGCTTACGCCAAGCTCCTCCACAAGCTCTCGAACAGCTGTGCACAGATCTGTTTCAACTAAAGTCTTCAAATCGTCGTCATCAGCAGCTGAAGAGCGTTCATGACGCTCTTGATCTTCCAGGTCAAATTCTCCATGACAAAACTTCCGATACCACCGTTGAACTGTAGATTCATTAACACTTTTCTCGCCCCATACTTTGTTGACATTTCGAGCCGTTTGTGTTGCGCTGTGGCCTAGCTTGTACTCATAAAAGTAAATTTGCCAAAAATCTGGTTTGGGCATCTAAACAAAAACACCTAATAAATATATTTTTTTAATAATTTTGGAACAAAATGATTATATAATATACAGCGAGAATAGAGCTTCAAAATGATATATAAACCAATATAATTCAAAATACTTTTGTTGCTAAAAATGTACAGGAAAGATAAACAATTGCAAAAATCTGCATTATTTTCCGAAAAGCCAATAATTTGGCTCAATATATGCTCATCGGCTAATTTTTCAAATAATATAAATTTCATAACATTGTAACTTTAGAAATCTCTACGCAGTTAAAAGCTGAATATTTTTCATTTCCGAAGGTATGTTTACCGTATTACACCGTGTTCACAGAAGTCTTTATGCAGCCTTTATTTTCGCTAACTTTAATTGTAGAGATATAGTTCCAATTACAGAATTGTTATAAGATGGTGCAAATATTCACTTGTTGTATTTTTAATTAAAAAAAATAATTTTGTAAAAACTGCGAAATCTAAATTTTTATGCAATCATTCGTTCCCTATAGTTATATTTAAGAAAATTTTTGCTATTATAGAAAATACAACGGAACAAAAAATTTCGAATCCTGTGCAACGAAAAGTGGACCAGATATTTAACTTTAAAATCTGAGATTCAGAGGCCTTACAAAAATTTAGCTAGTGATGTATTTACATTTTTTTGTAAGCAAAAATAAAGCAAATTTAGAAAAAAATGTTTTGATTTAATACCTGGTTGTAACGAAAATTTTCTGTAAGTAAAAGTTCTTAATAAAGTTCGAAAAAAGAAATATGAAAGTAGTATCTTTAGTGCGGGTAGTAATCACCACCCAAATCCACGATTTTCTTCCAACGTTTTGGTGATTTTTCAAAGTCTTCGGCCCAGAAACTTGTTGGTCACGAGTCCAAAAAAAGATCAGCCTCATTTCGGACATCTTGTGCAGAAAGGAAGATAGCACCAGCAAGATGTAGCTGCAGGTGTGAAAAAAGGTAGAAGTCTAAAGGAGCGATATCGGGGCTATGTGGTGAATGTAGTAAAAGATCCCACTCGAGTCCGTACGGAGTCTAAGCCGGTGAACGTAGACATATGTGATCTTGCATTACCTTGATGGAACATTACTTTTTGCGTCAGAACTCAGTTCGACGCTTTTCTTTGATAGCAGCGCCAACATGGATTAGCATTTCGCTGTACACCTTACTTACGAGAGTTTTATCTTTTCCAGATAATCTTTGTGGATCTACGGCAATCCCACCAGATACAAGCTATGATCCTTTTAATAGTCAAATCGGGCTTTGCGATGCTGCCGTGGGGCTCACCTTGCGCGGACCAACCCCCTTTTCGGACTGTGTTGTTGAAGTAAATCCACTTTTTGTCACAAGTGACGATCCGGCCCAAAAGTTTGTCCTTGCATTGATATTTGAGCAGATCAGTGCAGGCCCGAACACGTCTGTCCTTATCTGCTTGAGTCAGCTCATGCGGCACCCAGCGATTGAACTTGTATGTCAAGTTTATGCGATGCATAAATGGACTAATGGACATGACACTAACGTCTAACTCCTTAGTAAAGCTCTCGAGTGTTTGCATACTGATCTTCTTCCACAAGTTCTTGCAAAAGGGCCTCATCAACATCAGTAGGTCAGTCAGAGCGCTCTGCTTCTTGAATGTCATAGTCCTTGTTTTTGAACTTACGGTACCGAACCTTCAAAATATGATATGATACAACATTAGTACTTAATGCTGTACACATGATTTGGTGACATTATGTAGCTGACGTTTTGCAACAAAGCTGGTAGTAAATGATATTTCTAATCTGGTAGCGTCATAGTTCCATTTCAGATACCTTATACTTAACACGAAGCAACTTTCTTTGAAATGCCAAAAATATTTTGAAAAAATGTGATTAAACACGCAAACTCGAACTGTTTGCGCAGACGGTATTTGCGGTGGTGGGAAACCTTCTTTACAACCTGTTAGTTTAGGTGACGAGAACTGCTGCATAGATTGTCGTTAAAAATATTAATCAATAGCTATGTATCCACATATATATATATGTATATATATTTAGAAAAAACATATTATTCGCAGAATCTTATTCATGTTTTAAAAGTCCTGGAAGATTTCAGATTCCGTATATAGTCGACTCGTAACACTGTTTGCATAAATTAAAACACAAAAATATTTATAGTTTAATAAACTTTTTGTATCATTATTAGATTATGTGTATAAAGATATAAGAGTTCCTGAGAATATTAATAGCTCATTTTTAACGTCTGAAAATTTACAAATAATTTGCGTGAAAATTCTTTCGGCATTAGTTGTGCATTAATTGTGAAATATCTATTGCTATATTTCTTAAAAGGTTAGTGAAAAGGATTTACACAGCTAAAAAAGCGGGTGATTTTCTTTCTAAGGCTACTATATCCTCTTCGGGTCATAGGTCGACGGACAGTTGTGGCTTTTCCCTTCGAAACGATACACGCATTTCTCTCGTAGGAGGAGAGAGAATTTCAAATGTCTGAAGAGGAAAGTTTTCTGATTTCTTTATTAGTGCCATTGTCACAGTCCTAACTGAAACAGGTATAAAAACATTTCTTGAAGTTTTGCATGAGACCAGGGCATGTCGCACTTAAAAGGGGGTTAGAATTTTCTAGAAAAATTGGCTATCTGTTATTACCCTTTTCTCGTTGAATAGATAGAGAGAATTAAAAAAAAAAAAAAAAAAAAAAAAAAGAAGAATTGGTATTAATTTATAGTTAATTTGAGCCAATAGTGAATTTAGAGACTATCCTTAATTTAGAGAAGCCGAGTTTTTAAAAGCTGTTTCACGTGAATGCAGAAGCAGATTTTTCACCGTACAGAAATTGGAAAGAAAAAGGAGTAAATAAGTCTCTCCGTGGCTTGTGAGCTGCGGTGACCTGACCATGTTGCGGTACGGGTTCTCTTCGCGACATTTATCGGGGATTAGAAAGGCGGAACCGGGCTGTGACACGTGTTTTCCCGGGCTTGCTTCTCCTCGAAGAATTTGTTTTCCTTTATCGCTGATTTTTCTATGAAACATTTCATAAATGCTTATGTCTTGTCATAGATCTTCAAAAAATTTATGTGCTTACGCCTCGTCGCAGGTTTTCAAAAAATTAATAACGGTTAATAGTCATCTCCCTTTGTCATAGACTTATTAGACTTAATGTCATAGACTTATTGGTGTTGCTTGCAGTTATCTCCGAACCGGATTGGGAGCATTTAAACCCATTGACTGTGTGAGTGGACGATCTCGAATTTGCGGTCTCGTTTCCAAGTTCTGCTAGTCTTGTTCCAATTTAAAGTCTTGTCCCACATTTTCTAAATAAAATAAGGCGAGTATTGTACCAAACTCAGTAAGTACACAAATTTAATATACAGCTTATTCCAGTTAAATGGGTAATAGGATTTTCATAAAAGAAATTAAATTGTGTAAGTTAATGTAAGTGTTGATATGAATAAAAATAACAAATTTGATATAAGAAAATAAATAAGCTATTTTGAAGATCTTTAAATTAAGAAAATACTTGTATATTTTTTTTGCAAAAATGCACATCAAGATTTAGCTCAAATGTTAAAATTCATAGAAAAATGTTAGCCTCATATATGAATGCTAGATTAATGATTAAAGTAATATAAATTAATATAAAATATCATGATTGTTTTCAAATTCGTAGAAGCTTTTAACCAGAGGAAAATCAATTTTAAACGTAAAGACGATTTAAAAACAGAAATAATTTTGATAACACATTAAAATGCTGTTGGAAAAAATATTTGCATACCCTTTTTCATGTTCGTAGAAAAAGGAAAACAAAGTGAAATGCCAGAAATACACTAAATATTGTTGCGTGCGTACGGGTTCGTTATGAAATGAATGCACAAGTCCGATGAAAAATGAACAAAAATTTATTATTATCACAACAAAAATGCTTAAATTTTCTCAAATTATCATGCAGTATTAAATATCTCACAGTAGTTATCTTTTAACTACTCAAATGTCCAATAGAACGTAATTCAAAACAGCTAAAGAAAGCTAATCCGCGAATTCGCCCCAATCAACAAGAGCAGTTTTCTAAACAACAACAAACTAAGCAACTACTACGAACTTTATTCTTTATTTCTTATTCACCGCAGGTATACAACTGCATTGAGTTTTGACCTGTTCAATCTGTGGAGCCTATGAAGGCCATTCACGGTTTTTAGTACATTAAGGTGCTACTGCACCTCGCCCGGGGGGCGTGACATTAGAACAAGGTGCAATCATTCCGTGGCGAAGTACTACGAACTGAGATATTTTCTTCCTTTTATAAGATTTTAAAATCACGCGCTAGAATTTTCCAGCACTTTCTCGAAATCAAAAAGAGATATTTATGTATTTAATGCACGCGCTCTTGTATTTTCAATTTTCCGGCTTAGCTTTCTTTTAATATTCGTCACGCGCTGCACTGCGCGAGAAATAAAACCATTTAATTTATAATTGAACTAACATTAGCTTTTTAAATACCAAATTCGTAACAATATTTTGAATTAATAAACTTCATTTTCAATCTTTTTAGACTTCGTATAATAACCGTAAAAGTGACGAATGAAATATACCATAAAGGCAGTAGTTTCTTTCAGTACATTCGAATTCGTATAATATCCGTAAAAGTGACGAATGAAATATACCATAAAGGCGGTAGTTTTTTTCAGTACATTCGGATTCGTATAATTTTCGTAAAAATAACGAGTGTAAAATAAAGATAAAGAGCCAACAGTAACTTCAGCCTTTTTTATTCGTATAAATTTCGTAAAAGTAACGTGCAAAAAAATATCATACCCTTATTTCACCAAATTTATACGTATATTTTTGGAGACGTGCTGCCTGGGTCGTTATTCTTCTTATATTAATGGCGCTCAGTGACTGAAGTTCTAAAGTTTCAGACATTCGACAAAAAACTGAACTTCCTATTGTGCCGTAGTAGAAGAAGGTAATTCTGTGAAAATTGCAACTCAACTAATTACTGTGCGCAAATGAAGAACAATGAATAAGACTAATTTAGTGGAATGTTATCAGCCTTAACTTTTGCAGCGATGAAATATTCGTCGCATCTACGATTTGTGTAAAGAAATTATAGACCAAATCTCCACTGATTGATGTTCATTGTCAACCGTGAGGGTGTCTTTATTGAGTTGTTCGGAAAGTAATTTCGTTTTTTCCCAACAGGGGTCTTAGTTGTATTTTTCACAGCCAACTTCGCACTTAAGCCACATAACCATTATATATTTTGACGGCTGGTACAGCAAGGCTTGTTTATAAAACGTGCGATTTATTTTACGTAGTATTTTTTGGTTGGAGCCCTTTAAAATACGAAAAATGAAAAGCAGTATTATCGGCATATACTTTTTTTACTATCGAAAAGGTAAAGATGCTGTTCAGGCAAGAAAATTATCCAATGTGTAGGGAGAAGATGTATCGACAGAAAGCCAGTAAAAAATTAGTTTATAAAATTTCGATCCGGCAGTTTTGATCTTGAAGATGTACCACGTTCTGGACGGCCAATTGATGCTAAAGAAGAGCTTAAGCACATGAGGAACCCATGTCTCAAGCTTTGAGATTAAACCTAGGCGCTTCAAATGATCATAAGCGGTCGCATTCGTTAATCTCTCAGTGATCTCACAAGTTGGATTTGGATCAATTAATGCCTTTATTGTGGCTTCATCAGCTTCAACTGGTCTTCCAGAACGTCGTGCATCTTCAAGATCAAAACTGCCGGATCGAAATTTTGCAAACCAGTTTTGGCACTGGTATTCTTTCAATACATCTTTTTTCTCCAAACACATTGGATAATTTTTTTCTTGCTTGAACAGCATTTTTACCTTTTCGATAACAAAAACGAAAATGCTGCTTTTCAGTTTTCGCATTTGAAGGGCACCAACCAAAAACTACTGCGTAGAATAATCGAACGTTTTCACAAACAAGACTTGCTATATCAGCTGTCAAAATATATAATAATATGCAGCCAAAATGTGAAGTTGCCCGAGAAAAAATACAATTAAGCTCTCTGTTGGGAAAAACGAAATTACTTTCCAAACAACCCAAAAATTTTTATTTGTTGATGTGTGGTTACTAGTAATTAGTTGTATCACGTAACGGTTTAAATTTACTTCTATATCTTATTTCGTAATTGGCAATGTTTATGAGTAACTATTGGAAAAAAGAATATAATAATTTTATATAATATAAAAATATAATAATAGATGGTTTTGTTATAAATTATTAAAAATAAGAAATTTCAGTAACTGAATGAGTTTTACTGTTTAATGATAGCTAAATAATTATGGTAAATTACTTTAAAAAGCTAAATCGTTCAGTATTCAGAATGTGAAATGTGATTACATTAAGAGAATAATGTTCTTCTGTAGACCTGGATCCAGTTACCTTAATTATATATTATTCTAGAATTAATAAATATGTTTTAATAGTACATATTTGCTCATGTTTATTTTAGTGGTCTATTATGTCTCCTATGTGACCCTTAGGGAAAGCATGGATCTTCTGAAACGAAGCTGAGTAACATCTTGGGGTGTAGTTGTGGAATAAATTATTTACATGCATTTTAGAACTATACGATATGATTTATTATTTTATTTTAACTGGTGACTGAATTCTTACTTGTGTGGATTATCCTTTATGATATTTTGAGGTGTTATACATTTGTATTTCAATGAAAGGAATTCGTGGCTATCGCTTGAGTTTAGGAATAGATTTAAGTGTTTTTAAGTGTTAAGTTTAAATATTAAGTGTTAAGATTTAAGTGTAAGAGTTAAGTGCAGCTGAGGATGGTGGTTCGGTAAAACCATCGAAACTAATCCTGTGCAAATTTTGAAAATTAACGCTGATTTTTGTTGTTTGACTTGTAAATTAGTACTTATTCGGCGTGTGTTTGTGTCTTAATGAACGGCTTACTTAAAATTGTTTCGAAAATACAAGAATGCAGTAGAAACTACTGCTTTACGTAGCCAACCACATTTAAGTCGCATATGAAATTTTCAACAAACACATTTTTTAGGACTGCCAAATACAACCTTGTCCAACGGAGTTCTTTGAAGGTATTTGGATAGTACCAATGATTCAGTATCGCAGGAAATCTAAGGATGGTGACTTCTTTTGCTCTATGGTAGATGCTTGCACCCCCCAGCCGACAACAGCGAGTGACACCAAGGAGTTTCTGCTACAAAACTTTGAAAGACATTATAAAAACAATAGAGTAAGTTAAAATTTCTTTAATTCTTAAAATATATTTTGTAACTTGGCAGTCACAGGCTGTAACAAAGAGCTAATGAATTAATGATTAATTAAATAGTATCAGAACAATATTTTCTTTAAATAACAATAATTTTAAACGTAATTAATTTTATTGTAATTCATTTAAATTTAAATTTTTAATGGAAACATTTTAACACTCTACTGGATTAGCTAAATAAAATTATTTGCTATGGTCAGTTCAGTGTATGTTAAATAAATAATTACCAATTAGACGCCCAGTCTGACACAATCGGAAGATTTTCAATACGCATCTTATTTTATTTTCAGACTCAAGCTGCCAAGTCCTATGCGTTTTCTTCTTTAATAAGGTTAGGTTAAGCTATTAGAATGTGGCAAAGCACACAAAGGCTATCTGCCTAAGTGGTTCCATGCTTTTATGGAGGAATTTCTATGGGAAAATAGCTCGTATTCACCTTGCACATGGGTAAAATCACGAAAACCAACTACGCAGGAAGCACATTTGCTTCCCGAGACGAAGCAGTGGCGTAAGTAAGGGTATGCAAGGAATGCCGTCGCATAAGGGCCCGAAGGCTTAGGGGGCCCTTAAATGTCCTGCTGAACTACATTTATATGTTTAAACTTAAAAGTATTTTTTTGTATTTTTTTCCCTTTCGTTTTTCATTTTTATTTTTAGAGTTTGTACTACTATGAATTCTTATTTTAATATCATAGAATTCGTCTTCTTTTAAGTTTTTAAGGGCCCTCTTCCTACATGGTGCAGTAACGCAGTTCCGTATAAAACGCAGAAAAGGGGCCCTTGGAAGCCCATGAAACAGTTAAATTCAATGTTTGCAAAAGTTAATATTCCATCATTCGACTATGAAATAGCAACTTCGTGACCTACCTCAGTTCAGGCATAGGAGTCAGCAGAAAATAGGAAAAGTTCCTTTGTATTTCTTAGTTTCTTACCTGAAAATTTTTAAAGGCGACCCCCTGAAGAAAAGGTTTCTCCCTTTGCAATTCCAATTCAACAGGGGATGGAAGTGGAAATTAATTGTAACTATTTATTATAATGTAATTATTTTGTATATTAATTTATTTCTATATACTTTGTTATTATGATCGAATAATTAATAGACACATTTTCTAAGTATAAATAAAGAAGTAACTAAACAGGATTCTGGTACTTAATTTCGAATGACCTTTGCAAATTAAGAGGAAACGTGATATATTATTTGCAGTTCGAAATTTTCATAATATGTCATTCCGAAGCGTTTAATTTTGTTCATATATTGAATCTGTTACTAGCACTTCCATTAAACCCAAGTCCAAAAATCAGGACTAATATTAAGCTTGAAATTGAATTTATTAATGTGAATGATTTTTTACAATTTAATATAACATGTATTGCGTTGGTTCACTATAAACAGCGTATCACTTTTCAAATTGTTGCCACCAAATAATTTCACCCTGTACTATTTTTAAAAAAAAAATTAAATGAAGGAAGAATCTGCATAAATGTTTGTATGTTTCTCGCACTATGACGAAACAACGTTACCTAGAATATTTGAATGTATAGTTCTTACAATGTAAAAAACGACGGTGCAGTTGCACCAGAAGGCAGGGTATAGGGACGGGAAAATTTTGGTTTTAGAAGTATGAAACATTCCAAAATGGCAAAGTTAAAGGCGGATCGAATTTTTTCTCTATTTTAGACTAATAATCTGGAGGGGAAAATCATTCGTAAGTATCAATTGCTAACTCCAGAATGTATGCTTTCATTTTCTTAAGGACATAAAATCATTGACGTAAGTTGAGGAGTCGTGGCATGAAAGGACTTTGCCCCACCCACATGTTGAAATGGTGTCCTCGTCCAGGAAATGCAGAGTTTATGACATCACATTTAGAAAAGAGAGATTTCCTGTTTCTTAGGGATCTTTGAATGAATTCAAGGTCAAAGAAAAAGGGGCATGTTTTATGCGACAAACCTAACAACTCCCTTTGCAATCCCAATTCAACGGGTTTTGCTGTGTTTCAACAAAGAACACAAAGTTTCATTCTGGTTGCTTAAACATTAAGCGGCAAATATTCCAGTTAATTTTTTTTCCCTTAAATTTATCGAAATTCATGACTTCTTCTTCACTTATGGGGAGAGGAAAATGGAATGGATGAATATTTTTTACTTGAAATAATGAGTAAATCAATATTTATCCTATTTTTCATATCAAAATTTACAAAATATTCTCACATTGCAGATAAAGTGCAGGTTAAGAATTCTTTAAAATTCCTAAACGAGAATTAAATCTGAAGGCATAGAACTCGTAAATTGATTTGCTTTAGGAAAGAGAATAGTTTTGGTGTTTCTTAGCCTGTAAATTACTCAGCTACCCAAAATTCACACTAATCTGTAAAAGATAATTCTGAAGATATTAAATTTGTTTTGAAAGAAATATTTTAATTTCCCTTCGTTTGAAAAATATAATAAATTACAATTCATTTTAACAACGTGAAACATTTAAGCCTAGAATTCAGTAATGCGCAATAATTTGTATGTTATTTAAACGGAACTGAATTGAATTATTATATAATAATAAAGCACTCGAGGAATATTTGCCCAAGGGGAAGAACGCCTTCGTGGAGTACTTTCTAATCGTTATTTGAAATTAAAAAGTGTGTGTGTGTCTGATTGTAGCAAAGTCTCGAGGGCTATCTGCCTAAGGAAAGGAATGCCTTCGTGGAGTACTTTGGAAGGGAAACTGGCTCGTATACACATTACACATGGAGAAAACCACGAAAACGGTCATGCAGCCAGTCCGTTCGCGGGATTCGAACCTCGGACCGAACTACCAGTGTTCAGCGACTTTACCGCTCGGCCGCTAGTGGGCTGTTATTTGAAATGAAACTTTAAAATTTACACTTTTGCTTTTAATTAATTTTAATTTTTATTCTACTTTTACTTTGCACAGAGCATTCAGTACGTGAAATCACCAATAATAATATAATAATGATAATAAAAATGACATCATACAACTAAAAGTAAATTTCGATAAACTAATTACTGAAAATATTAAGCATATCAATGGCAGCGTTGGACCTAATAGTTTTAAGTTGCATTTCAACATCTGAAAGAACACTAATTACAATACAATTTTCACTACACAGACGAATGGAAAAGAATTCTCCCACTTTTATTGCAATATTTCAATAATTTTCGCAATTAAAAAAAAATTAGTTAAAACGTTTTAGGGGAAAATGATGCGATTTTCACTCATAAAATCCCTTTTCGCATTATTCTCTTTCATTTTGGCACCACTGCGTAGCTTTTCTAAGACATAAATAGGTTCCGTTAATATATGTTCCCATACATTATATGTATTTTTCATATTTTTGTCATTAATAAATTAATGTTTAAGATAAAAATGATACGACCTAATTTATAAGCAATGTAAAAACTGGAAATCTGAGGTAATTAATTTCTGAGCCAGAAATAGTTGTTTTAAGACGTAAATAAAAAGATAACAATAATAAAAAAAAATATTAATGCTCCTAAAATATATCGTGATTTTTGCTTTCCTAATTGATTTTTGCTTTTTGATCCACCTGGGGTAAAAAAAAAAAAAAAAAAAAAAAAAAAAAAAATCTATTTTCATTAAATGATGTTTTCCGCATTTCTCTAAGAAGTGCGCAAAACTTGTTTCATACAACTTTATTTTTAGTAATTATGAAGAAACTTTATACTTGTTTCCTAAACAAGTATTTATTTATGCTAATTTTAGAATCTATGCGACAGAGTACTCATCTTCAAATATACGTTAGTTTCAATAAGTTTAACTAGAAATTATTAAACATTTCTGGGAACTTGAAACTTGGAAGGTTTAATTTTAAAATTTCCATTTCACATATTACACAGTCATCTTCAAAGCTCTTTGGATACAGGTCAATAAAATTTGTTTATTATTTCATCCTAAACTTGTGGAAGAAGTTCCTAAAATTATTCGAATATCCATAATTTTTACTGTTAAATATTTAATAATTGTACATTAACTGAAATACATTTATAGTACAGAGGAAATGCTATAAGATATTTCAGGTCATGTATTATGTGTCATTGGAATATGACAATAATAATAGTAGAATTTGACTGAAAAAAAAAAAAAAAAAAAAAAAAACAGATGTTTCAGCTTTTTAGAAAGGAAAGTGGACATCTTTACAGTAAAATCTTAGATACTGTGACTCAACTTGGGAAGACACTGGAAATTTATGGTGGAGGCGGCTTTCTTTGCTAAACAGCTGCGTTGAAATGTGAAATGCTATCTTCAGTATACTTGTAATTGGCTGATGACTCAGAACAGTAAACTGAACTTGCTCGTATTCTAATGACATTTCTCTAGTCTACATCATACATCGAGAGCATAAAGAAGTTTTTCTTTAAAATTAAATTTGAAAGGGACCTCAAATATAATTCTTCATTATAAAGGTAAGTTATTGATTTGTAATGTGGGAAACGTTATGTCATGATATTCCCTAATCCCCTACTGTATGACGTATGCATTGCGTCAGCATGTGTTTCCCGCCTTCGGGGAAAGACGAGGTTTAGCTGGCGAGCGGAGCAGACGTCGCTCGATCGCTCGTAACAATGCAAATGTCTTCCAATATTAATAACGTATTGTTATATTAACATGAAATATTTTTATGATAAATATGAAATATAAATATATGTTTCCATACATTAAGAAACATAATTACAGGCCAACAATAAAAAAAAAAATTTTTTTTAAACTTGTCCTGCGCTATAGCTGCAGGATTGAAGTAAAATAAACCTAAAGCACCTAAAGTTAAAATTAAATTGGAATCAAAGGAAGGCAATTCCTTGACGCTATAAATAACTGCAACCGTGTATAAAAGGTTTAACACAATATCTAAACAAATTTAAAATAAGAATTCATAGTAGCACAAACTCGAAAAATAAAAATGCAAAAGGGAAAACATACAAAATTATAA